CTCCATGTACATGTTCATCATGAAAACAATGAAGTTCTCCAGAATTCTCATTCTTCTCAAGGTTATCCACAGTTTAGCATGGTCCACACAGTCAAATGCCTTTGCACAGTCAATGAAACACAAGGACACATCTTTCTGGTATTTTGTTTTCAGCCAAAATCTGTCATCAGTAATGTCCCTGTCCTCTTCTGCATCCGGCCTGAACTCTGACAGCTCCCTGTCAATGTACTGCTGCTACTGTTGTTGGATGGTCTTCAGCAAAATATTGTGGTATCGGTGGTATCAGTCTATCATTTGAGCATTCTGTTGGGTCACCTTTCTTTGGAATGGGCACAACTATGGATCTCTTCCAGTCAGTTGGCCAGGTAGCTGTCTTCCAACTTTTCTGGCATAGACCAGGGAGTGCCTCCTGTGCTTCTGCAGCTTGCTGGTATTCCATCCAGTATCAGGATGAAGTTAATTAGTTTTCCTAAATTCCAAATATTCAAGTACATTTAAGTTGGGAGGAAAGAGAAAGAAATGATTATGGTACGACCTCCAAACCATGGCCCTGGGCTTTTAGGCCAAGAACCAGCTTCACCTTCAGGGCTCAGCTTTCAGCTAACTGATGGCACTGTTGTTATGTACCAGCAAGTCCGTCCCCACTCCCAGCCTCCCTGTGTTCACTAGAACGAAACACGGCTTGCTCCTGTATCACCCTCACCTTGGTTCTTATATTCAAGTCCACTGCTGCAGCCACTGTGTCAGTCTGCCCTGTCGAGGACCACTCCTTTTCCGCTGCCCCACTCCGTGCCCGAGCACGATGTCCTCCAGGGATTGGCCTTTCTTGACAACATGCCGACCTAGCCTCTAAGGAGCATTCTGGCTGTACTTCTAACAAGACAAATTTGTTTGTTCTTTTGGCAATAGACAGGCCTATAAGATGAACAACACCAGGGACGAATGCACTCATTAAACAATCAACCATATGAGAGCGAAAGAGCAGCATTTGCCAAGGTACCAAGCTCCGAAGGAAGGGACGGAAAAGGACGGATGGGAACAGGAAACAGGGAGGTAGTGGGGAGAGGAAGAGTGTTGTTATATTGTGGGGACTGCGATCAAGATCACAAAGCATGTATGAATTGTTGAATGAAAAAACAGTTTGCCCTAAACTTTCACTCAAATCACATGAATAGTTACCCCCAAATAAGAAAGGAAGTATCCAATTTTGTGAGTGGTTAAGAGTCCTGCACCTCTAGGCTCCTCCATTATGGCTGAACATTTGCTTTAAAATGGTATGGCTCTGTTCTGCTGGGAGTCTGTCCTGCATGGGCAGTGTGGAGGTCTCATCAGAGATCCGGTTACATGCAGAATTTGTGGCTCCTCCTCAGAGCCATTTATGGCTCTTACTCTTTCTTGTCAGAGAGCCTTCACTCTCAGACTTAGGTGGCTCTGACTCCTCGACCAGTAGCACTACGCACTGCTATGGGTGCTACCGCACCCCTCCACGGCAGTCTCTGGGAAGCATCTCGGGTGCAAAGCTGCCCAGAGGAAACACTCCCCCAGGGCCGGCCCCCTTTCCAGGCTTCCACTCGGCCTGCTTTCAGTCACTCTCCAGGGCCCTAAGGACGACTTTCTGTGTTTTGTCTAGAATTTATCAATACTACCGGTGAGCTACTCTGCCATTTCATGAAGCAGAACTCCTCTTGCTTTATTGTAATGGATACTAAAAGCTGCAGGGAGAATTAACAAATAAATGGCAGTGTCCTAGGTGAGAGAATGGGCTTGCTTCTACGTGTTCCCTGGTTGACGTTCCTTGCCTTCTACTCTTAAGCCGTCTTGCGTTGTCGGAAAGCGACCCGGAGCCTAGGGAGCAAAAGCACGTGGCAGCACTTGGTGACAAGGTGTCTATCTGTGTGACTTAGGGTTAGTTTCATTAGTGAAAGTTAATATTGGTGTGGAGATGCGCGAGAACTATATTCTTAAACGGAACACATACAGCAGTAGTCTCAACCTTCCTAATGCTCGACGACCCTTTAATACAGTTCCCCAGCTGTAAAATTATTTTTGTTGCTACTTCATAACTGTAATTCTACTACTGTTATGAATCATAATGTAAATATCTGATGCAGGATGTTTTTTCATTATTACAAATTGAACATAGTTAAACATAATTAAAGCATAGTGATTAATCACAAAACAATATATACCGTAATTATATATTGTGATTTATCTGTTTTCTGATGGTCTTAGGTGACCCTTGTGAAAGGGTCGTTCGACTCCCAAAGGTGTCCTTGACCCACAGGTTGAGAACCGCTGGCATAGATGGATCCCCCAGGATGTGTCCAAAAGTTGCCGTGTCCCAGAGAAGCACACTGCTCGCCAGCCTCGACACCTAAGGCAGAAATTCTGAGCATGTTCTTCTCCAGTTTAAAAACCTTTCTGTGAGAGGTTACCCATATTGCTGATGGGAGTATAAATTGGTATCTCCTTTCTGAAGATAGCGTACAATGCACTTTAAGAATTGACCTTGTAATTTCCTTCTGGAAATTCTTTCTGTAAGTACACACATCATATGTAGGAACATTCATACAATGCTCTTCATTGCCACATTGTTTTTGATTAACACAACACGATAAGCAGTGTCCAATAGGAATTTAATGTTAGCTTTTGACACTTGGCAGTCACTGTTCAGCGTGTTGCTTTTGTGTGATTGGCTTGAGGCTGGCTTCCCCATGGTCTCAGTGGCACAGGAAGGCCTAGTCACGGAAGGACAGAGCCCCGTAACAACTGCAGACCAGTCTATTCACTGCCCGATACAGAGCCCACAGCACATGGGAGCACAGTACTGCTGGCCGTGCTGTAGGAGAGCTGGAACTTCCCAATCACCGCCACCACCGCCGGCGTTTCTAAGTGCTTACCACATACCACGTACTATTGTCGCACTTTACCTGTGTGGCAGCCTTGTACATAACATTTGCTCCCCTTCACAGGTAAGGGAACGAAGTCAAACTGAGATTAAAGGATTTTCCCCAACATCACACAGCTGGCAAGTGGTGGAGCCAGAATTGAACCCCCAACAGGATTCGAGAAACTGGTCTCCCCACCATGTGCCACAGCACCTTCTGGGAGCGGCTTAAACAGTACTTTTGTGGTGGGGAATCTCAGCATTACAGCGCACCCCCTGCGTGAGACATACCGAAGGCCAGCGTGGAGCGTACAGAGGGGAAGTGTCCCTGGAAACAAGAGGGTCTATTTTCACAGGGGGAGGAGTTTTGAAAGAGCTCAGACATACCAGCCTGTGGGATGATTTCCTGTATGTTGGGCATTCCCAATTTTTGAGTTTTCTAACTTACAGACAGCATCTTATAGGACCATCTTCTCTTCATCAGCCCATACAGAGTGGGGACAATTCCAGTTCTGGTGAGAGGTTATAGTAGCAAACTTGAACCTTGGATCTTACTTCGGCCTTCTATCTCATTGAAATATTTGATAGACCAAAACACTTCTGTATTCCTGCTTTAGAGTCGCGTAGTGTATTTGAGAGTAAGAAAATTACTAAGAAAAAGAAAGTTATTTTCAGTGTAAATAAACATGTATGTGGCGTACTTTGCTTTTTATTTCTTTCATTATTTTTGAAGGCAGTTTTCATCAAAACTGCTGAGCTCTTGAAGTGCTGACAGGTTTTTCATTTTATACTTCGTTCTTCTTTCCACTCTCCTCTCTCTTATCCAACTAATACTTTAATTCGGGTGTTCATTAATCACCCCCAGTCTTTAAGAAGGTGAAAGGAGGGAATTTGATGATAAAGTGACTAATAATATCCCATCTGATTTCTGTTGTTGTATCTAAATGACCCTGCTACTCGAAGCAATAGACACGTTCACTAGAGACCGAACAACGCATATTGGTCCCCAGGGGCTGGAAGAAGAGTAACTGCATGAGCCAATCAGGTTTCTTTTGGGAAGGTGGGAAAGCTTTGGAACTAGATCGAGGTGGTGGTTGTAGAACACTGAGATTATACTAAATACCATGGAATTGTTTGCTTTACAGTGGTTCATTTTATGTCATGTGACTTTCTCCTCAATCTTTTTTTAAAGCCTCCAAAGGAGTCTTGAATATGGTCATTTGGGTCCTTTCAAATTTGTTTTTCTTTATTTGATCTGGACAATGTATAATTCGGGTAACTACAGACACTGATGAGGGTTTTTGTGATGGCATGTAAGCATTAGAATAGTTTCTAAATACTTGCTAAATGAAAGTAGTTGACTTGTGTCTTACCTAAATGTAAAATAGGAAAACAGGCCTCTTTGGAGTAAACCCTGGCCTGCTCAGACTTTCCAAACATAACAGGAGAACTTCTGAGATGAAATGGGGGAAACTCATTCTCCCTCCCACAACCCCAGTTAAATCAAGGGAAAGTGCTTTGTTTTAATTTAAGGTGTAAGCCTGCAGGGATTGGGGGGGGGGGGGTGGCGGGAAGAGCAGGGGACAGACACTGGCAGTAAGGACTTGGGATATTGGGTCCCAAACCCAAACTCCCTGCCATCGAGTCAAGGCTGAAACATGATGCCCCTACAGGGCAGGGTAGAACTGCCCCTGTGGGTTTCTGAGACTATCACTCACAGACAGCCTCCTCTTTCCCCCCAGGAGCCACTGGTGGTTTCTAACTGCTGACTTAGAGATTAGCAACCCAGTGTGTAACCTGTGACCACCAGGTAGGGTGGGGGGTGGTATTGGATGGAGTAATAAATAATGTAACAAACCCCTTCAGCCCAGAGCCAACCTGATTGGTAACCCAGAGCCTCCAAAAGGTAGTACCTGTGGAAATGAGCATGCAGATGCCACACTTGGGAAGGCTAGGTGAGGTCTGAACCTGTTTGAGAAGAACTCGGATGGTCCAAGCAAACATGACTGCTCAGCGTCCTGCCGGTTTTCAATGACCAGAGTTAGGTCGTGGTTCTTAATGCTGACTTCTGAAGTGAAGTTGTTTTTTGTCCTTTTTCCCTGCTTTTGAATAGGATCTTTCCAATTAAAGATGTGCCCCTGGAGACCGAGGATGACCTTGCCAATTGGCTCTATCAACGGTTCATTGAAAAAGAAGACCTCTTATCACATTTTTATAAAACAGGTACACAATATCCTATTTTATATATACATGTATACCTCTGAAGTTACTGATGGTTCTAAGATATACTTTAGGAAAAATAATCTTTTTTTTTATTCATGTGATAGTCTTAAGCAGTGGTTCTCAACCTGTGGGTTGTGACCCCTTTGGGGTTCAAAAGACCCTTTCACAGGGGTCTCCTGATTCATAATAGTAGGAAAATGACAGTGATGAGGTAGCCACGAAAATAATTTTATGGTTGGGGGATCACCACAACATGAGAAACTGTATGAAAGGGTCGCAGCATGAGGAAGGTTGAGAACCACTGGTCTAAAGGAATCAGAGTAGTTCTTTCTTTAAGTATCTAGCTTAGAATTTTTGTAAAGACATGTACATTAAAGCTAGTGGACAAGGTTCAGATGAAGAGTGTAAGAGTTAGACAAACACAAGAGTTAGACATACACAAGAACCCAGCCTAAGGTAGATTACAGTTACACACATGCAGTTCTATAGGGTGTTTTATGACATTTCACATACATGCTTTGGCATGGCACTGATTTTAAATAACACTCGTCTAGCTAAGGAGCCCGTGTGGCATGGTGGGTTATGCATGCACTGGGCTGCTAACTGCAAGGTCAGTAGTTTGAAACCAGTAGCTGCTCTGTGGCAGAAAAAAAGGGGACTTTATACTTCTGTAAAGAGTTACAGTCTCAGAAATCCACAGAGGGTAGAGCCACTATGAATCTAGAATGGACCCAGTGGCCATAAGTGAGTAATACTGTAGTTATTTGAGATCATTTCAAACTGCATGTTTACATGCTTACTTTTCCTTTACATGTAGGGGTAAAGTTCATTTTTTAAGTCTTAAGGGATACAACTTTATACTTTCTTCTCCAGAAGGAACAAATGACAATTTACACTCAGATTTCTTCTGTTCCTAAAATTCTTTATGTGAAAATGACAATGCCCTGAGGAAGACTAGCCAAGAAAGCGAGAGGGAGGAAGAAAGGGAGTCAGGAACGGAGGAAGCAAACAGGGCAGTGTGTCAGGCCTGGAGGAGGGAGGGTTTTCACAATTTGCCCAGTTGTGTCGGCCTGCTTTCCAGGCCCTGGTGGCATATTGGCTAGGTTGGCAGTTCCAGCCCCTGGCCGCTCTGGGAGAAAGCGAAGGCTGTCTGCTCCTGTAACAATTTACAGCCTCAAACCCACGGGGGCAGTTCTGCTCTCTCCAGGAAGGTCGCTGTGAGTCAGAATCAACTTGATGGCAATGAGTTTCCTTCTTGGTTTGGAGACTCCTTCCTAGAAAAGAAAGCTGTCCCATGGAACGCTGGCCATGGAATATAGATGAACAGAAAGCCCTGTTTTCTCCACGCCTAGCCTGTTTGGGAACAGAATGGAAGGTGATGATAAATCACACTTCCAAAAGGCTAATGTAGAGAAAAGGTTGCTATGTCAATGACAGATTTTATACATTTTTTTCATGTTTTATTTTTACTTTTTTTTTTTTTGGTGAAAATCCACATGATAAAAAATGTACACCACAACTCAAATGGAATATATTATGGGCAGCTGTTCCCTCCACCTTTTCCAGGTTATTTCACCAACATTGATGTAAATTGCATATCTGTTACATTAATTGAATTTAATGTTTGTGTCTTTACATTTGAGATTTGTTTCACTTGACCCTGAAGGGAATTCCTACCGTCCTGGCCTTTGACTCAGGCAGTGGATTAATGTACACAACTATGACAGGCGTTAGCCACTGTTTGTTGTTGAGGCCACTGAAGACCACAGAAATAAGATGCCCCTCTGCTCTGTGAGGCCTACTCCCGATTCTCTTCCCCAGCTGGATAGGGGGCATGGGAATGAAGAAGGCAGGAGGTGTCCTGTGTCCTGGCCAACAGAGTCTCTCTTCCTTTCCAGTCTCTCTTGCCTTATGATTTATGGTGGCTTTAATTGCAGCAACCATAATGAAGCCTCTTCTTAAGAATGCTATTTGCATAATAAGGATCCCTGGTGGCAAAATGGGTAAGTGCTTTGCTGCTAACCCAAAGGTCTGTGGTTCAAAGCATCCAGCCACTCACTGCCTGGGAGAAAGGCCATTGAAACCATCTGATAGCGACCCTATAGGACCGTGGCCATATAGAAGAGGGGGGAACTGCCCGTGAACAGCACTGGGCATCTTTGCATAATAGACCATGAAAGTGCTTTCTGTAAATGGCTGGCTTTTGAGAAGCAAATCCTCTCCTGAATCAGCTTACGCTAGAGGATTATCTGCAAGGACAAAGACTGTTGTGCACTGCTGAACAGTGTTATCAAGATGACCTGCAGTAGCATCGCTTTGAAGTGGTCTAGCTTTCCAGAAAAGAATCTGTAGAGGCACCTGTTTACTTTGTGTTCCTCCTCTGTATTGTAAAATGTTTCATAAAACATCTTGTCTTTTGGAAATGTGTGATTGACATGACAGCCACATTTTGTGACTCTAACATTTCATTTGTATGCTGGTTCTCAAAGTATGTAATGCCTGTTTGACCTCTCCTGTGTCCTGGCCACTCTGGAAGTCTCTAGGGGGACAGTGAGCAAGGGGTCCACCAGAGGCCCTGCTCGCAGGTGGTTTATATACTCCAGAGGGAGAGGCCGACAAGACAGGCTGTAGAGAGAAAGAAATGAAGGCTCATTGCACATCATGAAAAGGGCCGTGGAGCAAGTAGATGTGGAGATGGAGAGTGACCACAGCAGGGTTGGGTAGCAGTAGGTATATTTTCTCATATCAGAAGAATGCAGATGAACCTACTGTTCATTGAAGTGGAGGAGCAGCTTCCAGGCTGGGAGAATGAAGGCTAAGGCTTACAGCAATGGTTCTCAACCTTCCTAATGCCGCGACCCTATAATACGATTCCTCATGTTGTGGTGACCAACACCCCCCCCAACATAAAATTAGTTTTGCTGCCACTTCATAACTGTAATTTTGCTACTGTTATGAATAGGGCAACCCCTGTGAAAGGGTTGTTTGACCCCCAAAGGGGTCATGACCCACAGGTTGAGAACTGGCTTACAGGCAAGGAAGAGCTTGGCCCTTTGAAGAAAACTCATTGCCATCAAGTTGATGGCAACTCATAGTGACCCCATAGGAGAGGGTAGAACTACACCTTGTGAGCTATCGAGACTATAACTCTATGGGAGTAGGAAGCCCCATGGAGCAGCTGGTGGTTTCGAACTGCAGATCTTGGGGATCACAGTCCAAGACATAACCACTAATGCTACCAGTGATCCCTTGGCCCTAGGAAGAGTGTACTTCAAATAAGAGTCCTGGTGCGGTCGTTGAGTATGCATTAGTGGACTGCTAACCACAGGGCAAGCTGTTCCAGCCTAGCAGCTGCTCTACAGGAGGAAGACAGAGCTTTCTACTCCCGGAGAGATTTACAGCCCCGGAAACCCAAGGGGCTGTTCTGTAGGTTCACTCTGGGTCAGCATCTACTCGATGGTAGTGGGGTGGGTCAAGAGTAATGCCTTTGTTTTAAAATACTTGTATTTTAAGCTCTTGTGAAACTGATATTTAACTTTTATTGCAGGACACTGTCTCCTTCCCCACACAGAGTACAACAGATTAATATTTCTGTTTTGTCTTTTAGGAGCTTTTCCACCTCTCAAGGGCCATAAGGAAGCTGTTTCCAGGGACATGACCCTCAGCAATATGAGGCTATTTCTCTCACACTCTTTCGCATTTTTGTCAGGCTATATGTGGTACAATGTCATTCAATATTTTTACCATTGCCTGTTTTAGAAATTGACTCACCAAGGTCACCATAGGAGTTCAGACTTTCATAAATGTACGTTATTTTTCATGTGCAAATCAGATTATATATATATATATATATATAAGGCAGAGGAAATGAATGGATGGATGAATATTTATCCCCCTTGGGGATATTTTAAAACTCTACTAAAATGAGCATCAGTACTATAATGATCTGCTAATCTATTTTAAGAATTTCCATGTTTTAAAAAGATGTACTCTACCACACTTTTAAGCAAACATCACATATGGAGAAAAGGATGCCATAAAATCATCCGAGAACACTGAGGAATTCGGTTGCCACCAGAGATACCTGAGAATTTCGTTTAAGCCTGGAAAGTTGTATCTGTTGCTCTTAGCAAATAGTTTCTCTCTCAGCAGTGCTCCAGGCCCCTCAGTCCCCCAGTTCCCGCCCGGCTCCTGGCCACCTCTCAGGGAGCTGGTTAGCTGAAGCACTGTCTCCCTGTCACATGAGGTCACCAATGCAGATCCTCAAGCATCTTCCGTCGGGGCGGGGACATGTTCCAGGACTAAAATGCGTCTTTGAAGCCCTGCCCAGGCTAGTTCAGTCCAGCACCATGTTTACATGCGCTAGTGCTGTCCCCCAGACGCAGGGCCACAAGATTCCTCTTGTTGTGTAGAAGTCAGACCATAGATTGAGAACTGTCTTTTCCAAAATGCACTTTTATAAGACGTGAATATTGTGACCATCCGTACATAGCCTAGCCTGAAAAGAAGTGCGTACATCGTCAGGATTCTTGGGGGAGGCTCTTTGGTCCCTTGTGTTTGCCTGCGTGCTGGCCTGCTGGCTGCCCAGTGCCCTGCCTGGGGCGCCTGCCCTTGCTGAGGCGGGAGTGCTAGCCTCAGCTCGGCGTTGGCTTTTGTTTTGTTCTCCACTTTGGCACACTAGCACCAAATGCACTTGGGGAAAGTTGAAACAAATTAATGCCAAACACCTGAAGGGTCACTTTGCTGGGACACTGGCTAGTTTATTTGCGGCGTGGGCAACTGGGGCCAGACAGTGACTTAAAATGGCCACCAGTTGTCACCTGGCAGCCTGGAACCTGTGTGGACAGTGCTCTGCGGTTTCAGCATCGCCCTGGAGGAGCTGCCGCCGGCCGGCCAGAAGACGGACCAGCACAACACTGAGAGCTTCTCAAGAGGATAAAGTTGGTTAATATTTCTAGAAACTAGGACTGTTCTGTATCTGTCACTGTGTTGATGTGATTTACCTCATGGGCAAACCAAACTCTTCTCATGAAGCAGTGGCATTTCCTGGGCCCCTAACCCACGGCCCAGTGCTGAGGTAGAGTAGGCTCCTCCACGTGGGATGCTGAGACTATTAAGATCCCAGCATGCCAGTGGTAGTTTCCTGGGAGACGAGCATTGTAGTCAGTCCCCTGTTGTCTCGAATCACACAAGTAACAATTTTGAGACGTAGACGATAAAATAAAAACAAAGGCTGATGTTTTCCATTTTTGAATAAGCCAAAAACAAACTGAGAAGATGTGACTTTTCCCCAGTTGTGTGGGAAAGGTAAAGCAACACCAAATAAATGCCCCCAGCAGCTGTCGGTCAAGATAACTCCCTGCGCGTGTGAAAGCAAATGGTGTGTTCACCGGAATACCTCACACTGAATAGTGTACTGCTACTGGTACAGTGCGGGTGACAGTGCTCATGTGCTTGCTTTGGTCATGTCGGTTGTTGGTGCCATTAGGGGTGGGGAGGGGCGGGGATCTAGGTATTTCATTGTGCGCCCAACAGAGGGACAGTTGTACACAGGAAACCAGCCTCACTTGTGCAGTATGGCTGAGGGTGATAAGAAGCCTAATAGAAACCTAAAAGATGCTTCTGTTTGCAACTCGGCAAGCACTACTAATTTGTAAAGTAAATGGAAATGGTTCATTTGAGAGATTGGTTAGCTGCAGGGGATCAGTTGCTTGCTGTCAAGTACAGCATGTAGTGCCCTCCCTCCGAGATGTTCTCATCACTGCTAAGGCAAGCCAGAAGGTGGAATGGCCAGTTCTGCTCTCAGAAAACAAAAACACCCACGTGTACATAAATGTGGGTTAGGCCTGCCATTTCCATCCCTGCTCCAAAGGCACACGGTATCAGTGAACAACTGTCTGCACTAAACAAACGTCTGTAAGGTGCTTTGCTTTTCAAGCGCAGTATCATTTCAACTGTCTAGGGTGACAAATACCAATAGATGTGTGATTTAATTTTTTTAGTGGACCTGTGAGTTGTAAATAGATGTGTATTTGATCAAATTCTTTCAGCAACACATGCTCCCTCTGCTACTTGCAAAAGGTGTGCCTGAGCTCGTTGGTACTGGTTTCCTTCTCAGTCCCTGGAGTTGGGCTTGCACTAGGGACAGAGTAGTGTTCTTCCATGGTAGTCTGAGGAAGCAGCAGTCCTCCACTGTACAGAATGGAATAAAAATTCCCAGTGCGTGCATTCTTTGGGAAGAGACAGGAAAGGAGGTTTAAAGGAAGACACATTTCATCAAAGGGGAAAGGAATCCAAACTATGCCAGGCCTACACCACCCCACCCCCACCCCCACCAGGCCCCGTGGCTTGTGGACTCTCAGCACTTCTCAGGCCTGGCTGCTCTGCCTCGCCCTAGGAGAGGCTTGTGAACCCGGGCTGAGTCCGTGACGGGGCCTCCGCTTGGCTGCAGCAGGTCCAGTGACTACAGAAGGGACAGCCCAGCAGTTCGCCCTCGGCTTCGTTGGTGTTAAATAGGCACATGTTGTGGAGAGGCCTGTACACTAATGAAAGAAAATTAGAGGTGAAAACACTGTTTGGGGTGGGCATATACATTGATTGAAAATCTAAGCCACAGATTTCTTAATAAGATAGCTTCGAACTCAGATGTCACAGTATGAAGGTGTTTTCAATATTACAACCAACCCTTCATTTTCCATAGTAAAGGTACTAGGATTAAAGAATCCAGTAATTATAAGGAAACCAAAAATACCATTTTATTTATATCTTTGAATTTCTACTCTCATAAAAGAACATTTTTTTCTCTCTCTAGGGCTACTTGTTTTTTCGTTTTTGTTTTTGAATGGTATGCGTTGCATTATACGTTCTCTTGCCTGTGTATTTATGACTGTGAATGAGTTGGGAATGTGAAATGACTAGGAAAGGACAGGTATGAGGCAGAGGAGCCCCCAGTCCAAGCCTGCATCATCCGCACGCTGGACAGAGTGATGGCACTGAAATTGTTCTCAAGCTGTCTTAGGAAACCGTCACTCACCAAACTATAAGCCTCCGCACATACTCCGGAACACCACCGTCACGTGGCGGGACTTGATGCTGAGAATGCCGCTTCAGTCTTTGCTCACGTCACTCACTCCTTGTGCATCTGTAACGCTTTTTGACAATCATTTTCTAACTGGTTCTTCGAACCAGTTGGACATGGTTAGAATCACAGGAAGTTGTCCTCAATCATGGGTGGAATCAGAATTCCTTTTTTAGAAAATATTTTATTTGCACAGCAAAATAGGAAGAGTTCATTTTCTTCGTTTTTCGTTCAAAATAATTACACAGGATTTCCTTGGGAGCTACACCATGAGTGTGTCCAGCTCTGGTTCACAAAGGACGGGGAGAAATGGCTTGTCTTAAGATTACTGCTCTTCGTAGCTTGCCACGTGGTGTTGGAAACCACACAGTCGAAAGCAGCACGGGAGCAGTTACACCGGTTAGTTTGTGAGGCTGGAGACAAACCTCGTGCCGGGGACCAAACCACCTCGGGTGCCAGTCGAGATCACCAACGGGCTGGGTGTGTGCTGGAGCAGTCATGGCTGGTGCTTGATTCTGATCACTGTGCCCCGATCCCTGGCCATTAGGAACTGGGGCCTGGCCACTAGCTGAGGAGGCTGAACCGTTGGGGGATGGTGACTGTAGCCACTTCAAAGATCAAATAGAAGTTTTCTGCAAAATTTCCACTTGAGGGTTTTTACATGCGCTATTTTTTTAAACACCCCCTCCCCCCAGTGTATGCACACATCTTATTGTTAGTGTGTAAAACTGTTGAACACATGACTGGTACACAAGTTCTTGACGTGTTAGGAGTCGTGCATTTACAGCTTCTCTCTGGTTGGGTAATGACACAGTTACACATTGAACTGCCATTGTTTGTGTGGAGTGCTTTTTCTGGCGGTTGTGACAAAGTTGTATTTATTTGATACAAATGGCTTTCCTTATGCTGTCGTTTTGACCGCCACGCGCTGCCCTTTTCTTCTCGGTGTCTGCATGTTGCGATGTAAGATGATCAGAACGAATGTAAAGGCTGCGGCAACTGTAAGGGCTGGTCAAACGTGGCTCTGGTTAATGAGTGCATTTGGAATTCTCTCAGTAACCAGATCACCTCCTCAGAAATTTAAACGTAAACACCAAAAGAAGCATTTTCTCAACAAAAATGAATAGCTGGTTCTATTTTGTTTTCCTTTTTAAACCTAGAAAAAATAAAGTTGATTTTGTTTTGTTTTTCAAGTAAAGTGCTTTTCATTCTGGACAGTGGGCTGGGCTTTTGTGTTTGACTGGAGGTGTTTTGACACTGACATCCACCTGTGGGGGTGCACTTAGAATACGCTGAGGACAAGCCGGAACACCAAATGGAAAGCGTCCTACTTCCTGCTTCGGTTTGAAAGTCTTCTCCCTTTCCCTGCAGCCTCCATTCTGTCTGCCCAGTGGTGTGCTGGAAGGGTTTAAAGTCCACCCTCCTTGGGAAAGGTGAAGGCTTAGGTTTTGCTGATAGCAAGGATGTATATCGTACATATAAAATATGCAGCCCTGTCTTGTAAATTCCAACCAGTCATTTAATTCTGAGATGTTTTGTTTTAGCTGAACTTGTATACCATAAGCAACCTCTGTTTTCAAACTGACCATGATCCAAAAAATGGGATTATATTCCAGTCCACTAACTCATTTCCCAATACATTTATTGTCATTCAGTTTGGCAGGTGATCTGCTCTTACATCGCTTCTCACCTTTGTACAATTGATACTCATTAAACGAGACCACTCGGTTTCAGCAGTAATTTTAGGTTTCTGTAGTTCAGTTTTTAACAGCTGTGTAACCACTGGCTGGCAAAACTCTAAAATGCACACCCGGCTCTTGGCAGTCCACGGGAGCGGTATGCTGCATATACCTGCACCCTCTCTGGTTTCGACTTTTTGACTATTAATGTTACATATAGGTTCCAAAGTAGTGCAAATAATTTGTTATCAGCTGCCAAACTATAAGTTGGAGGTCCCCTCCACCCCCCTTCAGAGCTATCATGAGGTGGAGGTCCCAACCCCTTCCCCCACCCCCACTTCAGAACTGTTATGGGGGAAAGGGCTTTGGTGATTTTCCGTCAAGACTGCAGCCAAGAAGATCCAATGGAGAAATTTTACCCTGAACGTGTGACGTTGCCATGACTAGGAATCCACTCCACGGATAGCTGACAAATGTCGGAGAAATGAATGTGTCATTGTGGATCTTACTCATTGCTCTCAGCAAAGTCCCTGTCCCTGACCCTGACGGGTGTTAAAGGGTGGGGAAAGAGTTAACATTGGACCTCTACAGCATGCTTCAGATGTGAACGACTTCTCACAGTGTGTGGCCACCTTGGGTATTTCTCAAGTTGGTTTCCAGCTATCTCGGAGCTATGGAAACCGGGATCTGGGTAATCCCCCGCTTTCCAGAAGTGTGTCACTCTGTGCTTATAAAAGACCCACACGAGGACCTGTTTGGTTTGTTGGGTTTTTTCCCTTTTAAAATTAGTTCTACTGGCACACACTTCATGTATCATACAATTTCATCTTTCAGTCATCACCACAATCACTTTCAGAACATTTCTTCCTCCTCGTCGGTTGGTCAGGACCCACTTTTCTTCACCAAAAGAAATCCTAAGAATTTTAGCTTTGACAAAAGCAAAACGGAGCCAGCGCCCAGCACTGGTTTTGCAGCAAGCCTTCAGTGCCCCCACTAGCAACCAGAGCACCCAGAGTGCGGTTGCCACAACCGTCCACCCCCATGCCCACCCCGAGGGAATCGCACTCCAGAGCCCTGCACTGTGTGGACACTGTCTTAGTGCGAGTGGGGTTTTTCATGTCCCTTGATCTGACTTGGCAGATTACAAATGTTCCCCTTAGAAATGAGTAATTGCTTTTATTGATGCTTACGAACGGTTTCTACTTGCCAGTAGCCAAGGAAACCTTGTGTAGGGTTCCCTAAGCTTTTGTTTCTGTTTTGACCGTAAAAACCATCATTGTTTAGGTAGTTGTGGACTATGTTTGAGCCCAGGGAAAACTTTTTATGCTCATTAAAGCATTTGACACAATCTACCAAATAAGTTGAATAGTCCTTTAACTCTTGCTCTGCCGGCATTTAGGCTGCTGTTTTCATGAGACTGTACTTTTCACTCTTTTGAAGTCGTTTCTGTGGAAGACGAGTCAGATCGGGAGGGAGAGGCCTGAAAGGCCACTGGAAGCGCTTGGAGATGTGTTACTGACCCCTGGCCCTCACCAGGTTGAGGGAGCAGCAGGATGCCATTGTTCTTAATCCCACTTAATATGAAAATGCCCGTTTTAAAAGTTTCTTTTTGCTGAGGGGGAAAAATTGTTACTTTTAAAAGGGGAGGAAATTCTACAGCTTTAAGAAAAAGTCCGTTGTAATGCCAAGTGTGACCATGTCATGACATGCAGATTTGATCAAATCAATACATGTTTACCTCTGAGGAGCTAGACTACCTTATTCTTAACTCAGGGGACTGGGACACGGAAACTAAAATGTCAGTTCAGACCGCATGTGAACACGTTACACATGGAATGGGGCCGGAAGATTGGCTACAAAGTTGATTCTTGCTTTGTCCCCTGGAAAGACGGTTTTTGCATCTCCTTGGAGTACTGACTACATCGAAGGTGTGCCATTCGCTCTGGAAACAGTGCGGGAAGCTCACGCTGTTAGGTAATGTCATCGAGGGAGATTGTGGTCCTCCTTTATCTTCACTCCTTTGTTTCATATTTCTCCATTCCCTGAGAACAGTCTCGTCTTCAGCTCTTTACCAGTTGATGCTGAATCAGGACCTGCTAAAGGACAGATGAGAGAGAGAGAGGTAGGTAGGTAGTTAGGGAGAGAGAGCCTGGCAGCATAGTGGTTACCATTTGGCTGCTAACCTCAAGGTTAGCAGTTCTAAACCACCAGCCATTCCTGGGAGAAAGACTGAGTTTTTTACTCTTCTAAAGACTTAGTCTTGGAAACCCACAGAAGCAGGTCTACCTGTCGTTTAGGCTCGCATGAACTCGATGGTGATGGAGTTTGAGTTGAGAGACAGAAAGAGATCAGATGATGGAGGGATAGCAGAGTGCTAGGTAAAGGAACCCAAGACTGTTAGAAGGGACCACTTAAGGCTGCTGTCTGCAAATGGGTACTCACACCTCTGGATACATGAAGATTTTTGAAGGAGTGTTCAAATGCATGCTAGTCTTAAATCAATTCCCCTTTGACCTCTGAGGCCTCACCTATAGTGGATACCACCTCCCATTTCAAGAGCAACAGCACACAAAACAATTCCTCACAAAACCAACACACACACAGCAACACCAAAGCAAGGAGCTAACACAGGAAGAACAAAGAAACCTAAACACAATCAAGTAACAGCTCGCTTTACAGAAGAGTCCTAGCTCCCAGCCGTTGGGGATGTCCCCCCAGATGCCATACAAAGGGGGTATTCATAATACTGGTGGCCCAGACCTTTGACTCCAGGCAGCTACAGTCCACATGAAGGCATGTTTTTACCCCGATAGGTGTTCATTTCTACAAGGACCAAGATTGGCATTAGGAATGGGACAGTTAAAGCCTTTATTTGATGTGCTGTTTTCTGATAGATTTAACATGGGACTATGAAGACATTGGCAACTCAGGGCTCCCCAAAACAGAAGCTACCAAGACATCTTATGGCTTCAGCCCAGAACAGTTAGTTGATGGCTGCGTTCTGTTGGTGAAAGCAAGTTCCGGGGCCAGTGGGCGCTGTGGGCGAGAATGTGTGAATACTAGAAAACACGGCTTGTCGGGAGCCAGCTTGAAACACTAGGTACCATGGGGGTGGCACGCCCCACCTGCTTGCCTGGAGAACATGAGTTGTTGCACATTGCTAAGTGCCATCATGTCCCTAAGGTGGAAAGGTTTTGTTTCTAACTACTTTGGTGAGGATTGGGTACATTGTTCCATCACTCATGTCGGCCACAATGGACACCTAGCTAAGCGGGGTTGAGAGTAATCTACATTTCAGGGCCAAGGAAAGCACCTTGTGTGGGGAGAGGTGTGTGTGCCAGATTTTGTCCTGGCATACGTTTGAGGCATTACTTGTGGCATCCAAGGTCAAATGGCTGGTAGTAGAATTAGACGTCACTAGCATGAAGACTCAACTAGAGGGGTGGAAAGGCTGTGAGGCGGGCACATGCGCTTGGTATGTAGGCTCACTGAGTCAGCAGACTCCGTGGACCCAACCACTGAAACCAAGTCTCCACTCATTCAAAGGCTTTTCATGAAACCCTGAAGGGCCTCTGTTGGGGCTACTATTTTTAATAAACAAGTTAAATGTCAAGAACACTTGCTTATTATGGCCTGAGAGATCTAAAGACCTCTAGAGCTGTTTTTCTTAGATTAAAAATAGTAAACAATAGTCGCCCCTTACACATAAAAAGCCAAACCTAGTTTAATAAATAAATTCCTCTCAGCTATCACAGAAATACAATTAGCCATTTAAAAAGTCTGAAGTCCATGGCTTTTATCTTTGAGTGTGGAAGTGAAATGTATTTTGGTTTTATTTTCACCTATAGGCTAGAAGAATGTTTTCATTTCTGACTGAATCGATCGAGATTTCAATCTGATAATGGCACTTTTAGTTTCTGAATTCCAGGTATGAAACTGGCAATGGATAATACAGTGTGCACCATGGTTGCCTTGTGCCCAAATGGCCTTTCGTCACGTCAGCTATTAGGTTCAAAGTCATTGTCCACGTCACCCAAAGAAGGGCAGCAGAGCCCAAGACTTGGCTCATGAGCTGGAATCCCAGTTCTGACCTTTGTAAAGTTTCTCACTTCCACATTGATGGGTTACATAGGAAACTCGGAGCCCCCACGCAGGTCAAATGGGACAATGGACTTGAGCCCTCAGGGACCTACCTGTTCCTCTTCCCGCACAATTGTCTTTAACCCAGAATGAAAGTTACTCCCACATCTAACTGTGCCTAAGGCCTGAATGCCCTATTGGGTGTGAACATCAAGTCAAATCACGGTCACAGAAGCTAGGTTCCCACTAGCCCTGTGTCCTTTGGGTCTCCTACGGTAGACTAAACTGCAGTCTTCATGGTCAAGGCCTGACCTCTGCCTACCCCACCCTCTATCTACTAAGACTACATCTAGTAGAGAGTCATAGGCTTGTGAAAGGCTCCCGACCACAAGGGAAGCGCTGAGGTCCGCGAGCCGATTAGAAAGTCGAGGCGA